CCGCGGTCACGGCGGGGCCGCCGCTGCCACGTCAGGGGAGTTTCCCGAGGCGAGGTGGGCTGAGCCGGGCCCGGCCTTCCTCCTCTTCCTCCTCCTCCTTCGCCGCCGCCCCCTGTCCCGGCCGCCGCTGCCGGAATCGCCGCGGAGGGAGCGAGGGAGCGAGCGGTGCCCGCTGCCATGGAGGCCCGCTACAACCTCAAGAGCCCGGGTAGGCGGCCCGGCAGACCCCGGGGAGGCGGCCGCCGGCTTCTCCCGCAGGCCGCGGGCGGGGGTTCGGGGCGGGGGTGCGCGGCAGCGCCTTGCGGGTTGACCAGGCCGCTGTGTGTAGCGAAGTGGAGGGAGGGCTCGGGGGCCGCTACCGGGGCCGGTGGTCGCCTGCCGGGGGTGGGGGGACAGGTGTGGCGGCCGGGGCCAGGCCGCGGTGGGGAGGAGGGAAGGAGGGAGAGATGGAGGGAGGGCTGGGGTCTCTGGGCCGCGGCGGTGCCCGCGGGTGCGGGTCAGCAGGGCGCCGGGGAGGTGTGGGCCGTTCAGGCTAGGTCCCTTCAGCTTCCCAGTGTTGAAACGGCCCCTCCGAGCTGTAATTCGGTTCAAAACACCCTGGGTGCCTAGGGGAGGGCGTGTGTGCGTGTGTGTTTACACCCACGCCGTTTTGCTGGTTCGTGGAAGCGTTACCTTTGAACTTCTGGCCTGGTGGCCGTGCCCTCTTCCCCTGGGAATCGCCTCCTTTCCCAGTAGGTGCGAGTGAGGGGACAGATCACCAAGGGTAGCTCGGTTCGTGTGGCATAGGTTTGTTCTATGCAAGTGTCACTGTACGTGCCGTGTTTACAGGCAGGTGTGTGTGGTTTTCGTTGGGGTTCTGTGTTAAAATTCGTGCCTCGTAACTCCTAGGCTTTCTTTTTAACCCTGGAGGTGAGAGGGATGCCTCAAGAGGTGTGGGAGATGTCTTGAGGAACGGCGCTGGAAGGGAAGGTTTTGCTTCCTGGGAAGGGAAACTGAGGACAGGTCAGGGGACCCCTCATCGCCCCGGAGGCTTCCCCTCCTGGGAGCTGCAGACACAGCCAGAGGCTCGTCACTGCTGAAGCAAAACTTCTTCCACAGCTTGTAAGGGCTACTTGGGTTTGTGTGTCGGTCGCTGTCCTGCCCCCGCTTTCCCCTAAATCCGGTTTTGGGAAGTAGGTATTATCAGCTTCGTGTTATTATGATGAATAGTGGCTTTATTCTTTCATCATACTGTCCTATAACGAGCGTGGGAGGTGGGGAGAAACTTAACGTTGTGATGACTTGTGCCTTTCAAAGGCGAATGACAGGTTTATTTACAAAACATGCCTCCTCCATGATGTGTTTATCGCTAAGTTATGTCCCTTGCCCTCACACCCAAGTTGCATAACTGAAAGATAAGAAAGATCACAATGCAAATGATGTGCTAGTTATAGTTACCAGGAAGGACGATTTTTGTTTATTATTTTAGGGAGATACACTGGAAATGTTGCATATGTGAATTTACAAGGCCACTTGAACTTGCTCACTAGTTATGATTTGCCACGTCATTGGAAACAGTGGTGGTATGCTGTATGATGTGCTCCTGGCACCTGGGTGGAGAGGGCAAATATTTGTGGTTTAATTTAGAAATGTTCTTCCCCTGTGTTGTTACTAGTTCCCCTTCTTTTCAAGAGAAAATTATCTTCACAGGAATTGGTTTTCAGTACCTGTGCTGTTCTGTAGCAAAATGAACTTTACTTGGCAAAGGTGAATGATTCATACAGTGGGTCAGTACTGCTTTCTTAAATTAAACACGCTCTATAGCTTAGTAATGTATTAAATTATTTCTTCCCACATGGATGCTGGAATTCTATAAATGATTTAAATCCCTTTTAAAATTTCCGCAATATGATTTAAAACACTTATTTCAATAGTAACTTAATATGCATGATGAAATCTTTCATTAAAAAAGATGAGCAAAAAGGTATCGAATAAATACCAACACAGATTGAAAAGAAATATTGTTTCTCCAACAGTCGTTAAATTATGTTTTAGAAATTCCTATCTTGTTACAGTTACACGTGCAGTTTAGTGATGGTATCTTACACTTGGCATTCAACTAAAATGGAAGTGTAGAGTGTTCTAATATTAATGTGGTTTCAATTAATGTAAATGCACTGAGATGCATGAAAACAAATTCCTATTTCAAATAGTCGTGTCATGTGTGGACTGAAGGGATTATTTTGGTAACTGAGCCCTCTAAGGCTTTAGAACTAGTAGCTGTCCTCGTGCCTGTTGCTGTTCTTGTTCTGACTTGAATAGAGAAAAAATCCAGCTGCTAACCTTAAGGTCCTGGCCAGCTTTAATAACCTGGAATGTGCTATCTGGAGACAGAATGAGGAAAATAATTGTTTTGTACCAGCACAAGAGGCTTCTCCTGTTGAAATCTGCTTTTGGACTTGAGCAAACTCTGGTTAGAGATGGTGACTTCTGTCTGCTCAGTAGTTTTTTAAAGAGAGCAAATACTCCTTACAGTTTTAGTGTAAGTTATTTTAATGATTACAGTAGCCTATATCAGAAACATCATAGAGGAAAACATGTTTTAGATTTCATTAAAAGCAACCTGTGCTTTTATTGATCTTCCTTTTAAGCCAAATTCTGCTGTAGAGCTACGACAGGAGCTGCAGCTCTTCTGTGGTGATACCTGGATCCCTCTTCTGTGAGTAGGTGTGCTAGACCAGATTGATCAGTGAGGATCAGTCAGGCTCTAGAGTGCCTTTCTTTGTGTGCTTTCACGTAGACCACGTCAAGAGCAATATTGCTACTGAGCTTTGGCCTGCTGCTAATTGCTGCTTGTCGATATATTCATTTTCTTCCTTATTCCAGTTTCTCCAGGAAATGTTGGTTCATCACACTATATCTAAAAGACAATAATTCTCCACAGCATGGAACAAATTGTTCCCCCAAACACTGTGTCTCTGCTGATGAGAGGCAGCGCAGCTGGTGCTCTGGCAGCTCTTGGTTTTCCATAGGTACTGGCCTTGGTGAGGGTGCTGTGCTAAGCTGCTGCTGGCTCCTCTCACCCTCTATAAGGGCAAGGAGATGTGGGGGCATTCACCTGAAGCTGGCTCCTCACACCATCTATGAACATGTTTGGTTTTTTGGTTGTTTTTTTTTAATTTCTTCCCCAAAAAACCATTAATTTTGAAAGGGAAGAAATTTCACACTCCACACTTCAGGCTGCTTTGGATTGCCTCAATAAGGCAAAGCCTTTTAAGCTGTTGCTTTGTATTTTTGTGTCTTGTTTTGGCACTTGTAAAAGGGCAAGCTATTTTCTGTCTTAGGATTTCAAAATAGATTAGTCAATGTATATCAGCCTGCTACCATATGGCTGATAAACTTCTCCCATCAATATTAAAGCTTGTCTGACTAAAGCACAGACTTCATCCTCTTCTTGCTTCAGGAACATCCCCATTTTATGAAATTTATAAGACAGCTACTTGGAATAATCTCTTCACTTTATTTTTTTTCCCTCCAAGAGCTGTGACCCATAGCCTGCTGCAGGATCAGACACCAAATCTTGTAGTCGCTGTTTTTGTAGTGACAGTCTCCCTCTTTCACGTAGGATGTTGTTACCAGTCTTCTGAGAGGGTATGAACACAGACACGCTTGAAGAGTTACGAGCAGCTCTTTACAGTGACTCACACAGAGTCCACAAAAAACAATGCTTTTTTTAAATTTTGTTTTGGGAGGGTTTTCTTGTTTGTTTTCAGCAGGACCGCCTCATCTAGAATTTGGCTAGTGAGGGCACTGGTGGGAGAGCACACAGAAGCATGTCCTACCTCTGCTTCTAAGGGATGGTGCTTTTGGATGTTAGACACACAGGGAACACAACGTGCTGAGATTGTGGTCCTCTTAGCTGTCACCTTCAATACACTTACTGCTTTTCCTACCAACTGCACTCCTCTTTCCATGGTATACTTTCAAGAAGAAGTATTCCTCGACAATGACCATGCATCACTTCTTTGTTAATAAAAAACAGTTAATGGAAAATAGCCAGTAGGTGCTGTGCTGCTTAGTGTCTTCCGTGTATGAAATAAAAATAACAAGTTGAGTGGATGTTAAAAATTAAAGCTGAAGGCATTGTTTGATCTCAGCGTGTTCAACCAAGCACCTTACGTTTGATAAGTTTTATCTCCCTTTGTGTTGACTGAACAGTTGTTTTCAATTGTAGCTACAGAAAGAGCCCTGTACTTCCTGCTGCTCTGAGGAAAGGTCTGCCCTTTCTAAGGGTGAGAGGAAAGAGAGACTAGGCTGTTGAAACTATTCTCTCTCTTTTTTTTTTTTTTTTTGGTTTTTTTTGTGTGTTTGTTTGTTTTCAATACTTTATATGAGTGCAGGAGGCTTGTGGGTCTTGCTAAAGGATATACATATCTACATGAGGCTGTGAAGGTGTGAAGCAGCTATTCTGGAGGGTTGTGGGTGTTGGGAAATGATATGTCTGAGACCCTGAAGCAGCTGGTCTGTCTCTTGGCAAATGATATTTCCGTTTGTTATTGTAGCAGAAGTCAAAGGAACCTTCAAACTGAATTTTAAAATTAAAGGAGTTTATGGCTGCCCCAGACAGTTGTTAGTGTTCTGCAACTGCACATTTCCCTTTTGTAAAATTAATTGTTTTGCCTTGTTCCATGAGGTCAGCATAAAAAGGAAACTTGATTAGTGGAGAACATCAGACACAGGCAGTGAGTGATGAGCAGCTTCATTGTCTCTGTTTCCTTTTATTTAGATGGAGAAGTGTCAGTTCTCTAGTGCGGAAAAATAGTGTTCCACAGATTGTGGTATTTAAAATAATGTTAAAACTAGAGTAGATTTCAGTAAACATGACTTTAAAATGGTGATGCTGTTCACCTGAGACTGAAGTTTTAACTCTTCTTAATTTTACTAATTCTTTTAGCACTGGAGGGTGTATGTTTGTTAAGGTGGTCGCTGGCAGTATGGGAAGGATGGTTAGCAGTAGGAGTTGCTTTTACTGCTGGCTTTCTAATTCCAGAAGACTGAAAAATCTGGAAATCTTTGCATGGTCTGTTGCAAGTATGCCTATTTCTGCATACTTCTGTTGCTGAGTTGTCAGAGCAAAGATTTGTGTAGTCCACTGTCCCATCGGAGACAGAAGCAGTAGGGGAAGCTTTGGGAAAGAGCTTAAAAAGAAACAGACTATTTAGCATGTTTTCCTCATCACTGGTTTAAGGACTTGCCCAACTGGAAGTTTCATGTGTCTTTCAGGGATTTTAATTTGGATGGAAGTGACTGGGATGTGTGGCTTGTTTGGTGTTTTTTTGTTACTTTTTTTTTTTTTTTTTTCAAATGAAGAAAGGTTGGGTATTTCAGTCCTAATGAAACTGTAAATATGGTCTTGATTCAAAATAAATTACTATAAACTGCTATGTGGATTTTTATGAAAATATAGTCACATTTGTGTGAAGTGACATACAAAATGTATACAGGAAATAAGAAATGTATTTAAAGAAAGATGTGAACTCAGAAGGGTTAAGAAAGTTGGGGGCAAAGTGAATGAAGACAAGAAATGCAGAGATATAGGAGGATAGCATTAGTAATGTGGATCTCACTTGGAAGTGTGGTAGCATGGGTTTATTTCTAAAGCAGATACTGTTTGACACTATTCTACAAAAGGATAGTAATTTATATTTCAGGGTACTTTTGTCTCAAGGTCTCCTTTTCCCCCTTTTTTGTTTTTAGTTCACCAATGATCAGATATCATTCACAGGTTCTAAACTGTCAAGGGAAATCAGCTCCACAGTGGAGTGGGTGGCACACAGTTAGCTAGTGACACTGTGCAGGTCGCTGTGAACCTGTTCGAGTCTCTGTATGTATAGATTTAATAAATTATTCTCTAGAGAGTGCAACACTAAGAAAATACCATTCTGCATATCAAAGAGCTGTAGTAAAAGTATTTGATAATTCTCCAGTCTGCTATGACCCTTTGCTTTAAATAATTTTTCTTGCATGCTCTAGTGACCACATCACTTAAAGGGATTTTTTTTTTTTTTACTTAAAATGTCAAAGCTCATTGAGTGTTGTCATCTATGAGAAAACCTATGTACTTTACACATAAATTTTGTCCTGACTTTTATTTTTTATTGAGTGTTCCAGTCTTTGTGCAGTTGAGCTACTTACTGACTGTGGTTCCCTGTTATTTTTCCCCTTACATGAAATTTAAACCGACCTTTAGTAAACAGGATTTTTTTTTTGAACGCAAATACAGGCATTTTGGGTGAATGGGTTCCTGGGTGCTTTGGGCTGCTGTGGGGACTGGTGGTGGTGGTTCTGCAGGTGACACTGGGCACTGTGAGCTCCGAAGTCATTTGGTGGTTACACCAGCCATGGGTCAGGCACTCTTGGCTGAGTAGTCGGGTATTGAGCAGAGAGGAAAAAGCCAAAGCCAGCTGGATTTAAAAAAACTTTCCCAAAATATCATCCCAGACATACTCATAATCAAATTGAAGGGCCTTGATGCTTGTCTCAAATTGATTGCGTGGTTTCAATTTTCTAATTTTTCTAATACTATTGTCTAACATTTTTCCTAAATGTAGATAGTAGCATCATTAATAGGCAAACACATAATGATGATTACTTGTATTTTACTGATAGCTTAAGTGGGTTGAGTAGTTATAAGAGCCTTCATCCCAGAGAAACTTTATAAGAGTTTTAGTAATTCATTGGAAAACCTGGATTTGATAAGTAAATTGCATCCTTATTTATGCTGTCTCGGTCAGCAGAACCAGGGGAAAAAATTACTACTTTTTCTGTACTTCTCCTGAGTAGACCTCCTTAAAATGAAGGAAAAAAAAAACAAAAAAAAAAAAAAACAAAAAACAAAAACCAACAAGCAGCCATTAAAAAAAAAAAAAGAAGTAGTAGAAAGCATTTGCTGAAGCAATAAAAGCTGTCCGGTTGTTTTGTTCCTTTATTTTCTGGATCAAATAAGTCAACTTGAAAGATGAGGAGATCTCTAGCTTTATGCCAGCTGTTTCAGGTTCCTTTATTTATTTCTTTATTATGTACTTCCTTTTTCAAACAAGAGAACTGGAAGTTGGTAGAATGAAACGGTTGCTATCCATTTGAGGAAGATACTGTCACACACAACCCATATCACTTAAATAGGTATTTATTTCACTGGTGATCCTGTGATCATCTTGGTGTGCACGAGATGCTGTCTCTTCATGTGATGAAGCACTAAGGGCTGAGCCTTGCAGAACTGACACCACCTTCCCTGTGCTTCCTGACTTGGGTTTGGTGACAATGTCACCCACCTCACCCCTACAGCTCCATTTGCCTGGTCCTCTTTCTCCTATTGAGTTCCTGTACCTGAGTACTGTTGCCTTTTGTAGACAAGCTGTGGCACATCTTCAGGAAACCTGTAAAGGTGTCCTGGTTTTTGAGTGTTGGAGGGAGTCAGAACTTGTCAGGCAGAGCCTCTGGCCCACAGCACTCACTCTTTCCTTCCCCCCACCACCTGCCTTCTGCTTGCCAGGGCAGGAGCTCTCCTGTGCTCTCTAGAATTAGCCCAGAAACTTAATTTCCTCAGTATTTAATGTCAGTGAACATTATGATAAATTGTTGCCAAGTGTACCAGTGAAAGCATGATTATTTTTCATGCTGACAGTCATGCCACATTAAAAAATACCTTGATTATTTTGTCTCCATGACCTGACTTTGACAGATTGAGTGTCTTGATTGGAAATTTTCTTCTTTTGGCTGAATTAGTGATACTTTTTGACTTTATTGACAGTTTACAATTCTTTTTTTTGAATGGGCACGAACCGTTCTCATTTTTCCGAATTGCCATTGCCAAACATTCCCTCAGATGACTCAGTGTGATTTTAAGTGGGTTGAAATACCATATTTTGCATCAAAACTCTTTTTAATGAAGTTTGGATAAGAACATTCTGTACTTGTTGCAGGCCCTTTGTGAATTACGTTTGTTTCTTTCATTGCAGTTTTCAGTAGCCAGAGGAGGGACTGTGTTCATGAATGGAGCAGCTATGCTTAAGAGGAAACCATTTAATGTTTTCTTTGCTGGATACACATTCTCAGAATGAACCTTTGTCATCCCAGGCTGTTCTTCGCAGCCTGACAGTTGGCATTTTTCAGCAATGTGGAAATAGAACCACAGAATGGTTTTGGTTGGGAGGTACCTTCAAAGATCATCAAGTTCCAACCCCCCTGCCATGGCCATGGGCACCTCCCACCAGACCAGGTTGCTCAAAGGCCCCTCCAGCCTGGCCTTGAACACCTCCAAGGATAAGGCCTCCACAACTTCCCTTGGACAACCTGTGCCACTGTCTCACCACCCTTATCATGAAGATTCATTTTTATGCCAAATCTAAACCTACCCGTTTTCAGTTTAAAACCATTGCCCTATGTCCTGTCACTAAAGGCCTTGGTAAAGTCTTTCTCCATCTTTCTTATAAACCCCCTTTAAGTACTGGAAGACCACAATAAGGTCTTCCTGGAGCCTTCTCTTCTCCAGGCTGAACAACCCCAACTCTCTCAGCCTGTTTTCATATGCGCGTACTTCTTTTTCTTAAGATATCCTAGGTTGGTTAATACTGAAAAATTTTTAGCAGCAAATTATCTCTATGGTATACAAAACCTAACACTGTTTTGGTGTATTTCGTGCTCCAAGCATGGAATAATATTTCATATTCTTTCAGCGTATTTTATGCTTGCTTCAGCCTGGAGAAGAGAAGGCTCCAGGAAGACCTTGTAACGGCCTTCCAGTACCTAAAAGGGGCTACAGGAGAGATAGGGAGGGACTCTTTATCAGGGAATGTAGTGATAGGACAAAGGGTAATGGTTTTAAAATGAAAATGGGGAAATTAAGATTAGACACTAGAAAGAAATTCTTTACTGTGAGGGTGGTGAGACACTGGAACAGGTTGCCCAGAGAAGCTTCCCTGGAAGTGTTGAAGAGCAGGCTGGATGGGGCTTTGAGCAACCTGGTCTGGTGGGAGGTGTCCCTGCCCATGGCAAGGGGTTGGAACTGGATGATCTTGAAGGTCCCTTCCAACTCTAACCATTCTGTGATTCTTAAAATAACTGTAGACTGGCTTCTTGAGAATAAAGTAATGCTATGGAAAGCTTTAATAACTTTCCTTCAGTGAACATGGCTAACAGCGTGTGATGCTGATAGAGGGGGGGCTGTATTTATTTTCTGTCTTGGTCCCTTGTCTGGGAAATCTCAGTAACAGAGTTGTCTGCCTTGTCTATGACTATTCTGTCTTCATTAAGCTTCCTTCTATACATTCTCAGTTTTCTCATGGTTACCTTTTTGCTTCATGAGCTCATTCATTTTTGCTCCTGAATGAGCTCATCTTGGTACGTGCTACTCTTCTTCTGAAGGCAAGAGTCCAGGCCTGTTGGCTGTGAAGCAATGCTGGGTCTGAAGCCTTTTCTGGTCCAGGCTGGTTTTCTTATTAGTCGTCGCTAATGAACTGGTAAACCTTAATGCAGATGAAAGAGGCAAAGTGTTTTTCAGTGGAGCCCGGGCGCTGCTGGCGGTGATGTGACCTTGTGGGCTCTGCAGGGTGTTCAATTGACGCCCCCCCGGCAGCAGCAGAATTGGGACAACTGGCAGCCACAAATTTCCACGTGGTCTGTCTGCTTTTTGGGTTGTAAGAAGTGAAATTCTCAAACTTTGAGCTGTTGTTTATAGCTGTCAAGAAGTGCGAAAGAGGAACTTTTCACAGTAGATGGAAATCACAATTCCTCTGTGGGAAGGTTAGAGTAGCTTCCCTCACAGCATCATGAAAGTGAGTAAAGCCTTGGAACGTGAGCATGCTACACAGCCCACAGTCAGCTGGTGATGCCAGGACTTGTAATTCAAGGAACTATGTTTCACTTTGACCATATCTTTATGCTTACACTGGAAGGGAATTTGGGCAGTCTTTGTTCTTCGTAGTTAGATAACTACTTGGTGAGAGGGACATCCATGGTTTGAACTGAGTGTAGAGGATGGATTAAGGAATCCTATTCCTATGTAGTTGATAGAGATAACTGGTATTTGCACTTTTTCCAGTAAGTAGGAGGGAGTAAGACCTTTCTGCCTAACCTTATTCACGAGGCGGCATCCTTGAGTTTCCTTTCTGTAATTCTTATGTGTAGTCAGCTCTTCAGCTAGGTTGAGTTCTTTATTGGGCATTAATGCATGATGCACATGAGGACACCAGGCAGGACAAGTGATGTAACAGAACTCACTAAAGGGGAAGGAACAAGGAGATGCAGAAAGTACAGCTGATGCTGGTGGTTCTGAAGTAGAAGATTGGAGAGGGTAACTAATGACTGTCCTGAATTTAGGATAGAAAAATACCTGTGTCCACACTTAGTAGAAAGGTTCAAATTACAAAGGCCCTGGGTAAATATTTCTGGCTATGGCATATGAATTTTCAAATCTAGTTCATCTCCCTGTACTACTGGTGTGTTGGTTTCTCTAAACTCCTTTGGAATAATTAAGGGAGTAGTTGTGTAGTAGTCATGGGAGGTGTCAGGATAAAGCTTGTCAGGATAAAGCTTGTCAGGATAAAGCTTGTCAGCAGTTGTTCAAAGATGCACATGATGTCATTTATAATAAAATACTGAGGTTATTAGTCTTGTACACCTTGTATTTAAAGTCTGAAACTCTGTTAATGACACCTGTGTTTTTCCTCGTGTCTTTGGTACAATTAGTAATGTAAAACTAATTTAGTCCCTGTGTTTAGTGTTGAGAAACTCTGACCATGCAACACATTTTTCATAACTTTGTGCTTATATAACTCATTTAAGATGTGCTCAGCATGAGTAATTTATATTGTGACTTGGATTGTTAACTCCAGTGAGGAAGCTGGGATGTGCTGAAAAAGATCAGTTAGTTGAAGGGACCTCTTCAAGAAATGTTGGTGTATTTTTGTATGCAATGTGTATTATTTCTTTTTCCTCTATTTTCATGTCTTACGCTTTCTCTTTTTCAGCTGTCAAACGTTTGATGAAAGAGGCTGCAGAGCTGAAGGATCCTACAGATCATTACCATGCACAGCCTTTGGAGGTTTGTTTCTCTGTCTGTTTGCAAGAACTTGTAATTAGGCTGCATTATTAATATATACTCAAAGTTCTCTGTATGTGTATGTATTTAAAATGTACGTATTTAGATAGTAGCAGACCTTTTAGAACTGATTCAGTTCTTTTTTTCCTGTGATGGGAATCAACAGCAGAATTCCACTTTAATGGTATTGTAGTTCCAGCTTGTGAGGGAAAGTACATACTGGTTTTACATTGCACCTGAGTAATTTTATTGCACAGGTACAATGTGTTTATTCCTCCTCTTCCTCCCTGAGACTACATAAGTACATTATGGTTGTTAAGCTTTTACACCTAAACCTGACATCTGCCTCAGTTGCTGAGTCGCTCAACAAAGCACTTAAACCTAGGTGATCTATGAGAATCCACTATTTTGCATTAAAAAACTGTGAAAAACTTAAATGGGTGCAATTCCAGTTTTTGGGCTGAGAGAACAGTGAAGCTCTGCTGGTTATAAGCTTAAACAGAAACCCCATCTGATTGCAGTGGAATAATACAAAATTCCGTGTTCTGTGTTACTCAGTTCAGGGCTTTGATTCAGCTGAAATGCGGAGCACACTTAGCAGGTTTAGAGAAAATAGCATGTGCCTAGGTGATACAAAATGCACCTTATTATCAACTAGTTTTTGTCTGTACCTTGTGTTTCACCTTCTTGTGGTGAAGCGTGAAGTTTAGTTCATGCTATTACTTGTAACTTAGGTGAAGGTCTTATTTCTGGGTTAGAACAGCAACTTGCTGGGACAACAACAGTGGCAGATGAAAGGAAATACTGGAAATGTTGACAGTTACCTCCATCCTTGAAAAAATTGTAACTAGATGGACAGTCACAGCCCCACAGCACCCATGTTCAGCATTAGCTGAGAGGTATCGCTCACTGACAGCAAGCCTCATTTGGAGTCCTGTCCTAACAGTAGGAGTTGTTTGGTTTGTAAATATCCAGGAAGCTGTGGACATCACAAGATCTGATACACAAAGCCAAACACAGAACCCCAAAGAAGTAACGCTTAAAGAGAAGTTATTTATACATGTCCAATGAAAATAATATTCCAAATTTGAAATTGCACCTGTTGTGCGTTAAGGCACAGTAGCTATTTCAAAATTGTTTATTGTGGTGGGTTGACCCTGGCTGGATGCCAGGTGGCCACCAAAGCTGCTCTATGACTGCCCTCCTCTGTTGGGCAGGAGAGAGAAAATAGAATGAAGGGCTCATGGGTCGAGATAAAGACTGTTACCATCAGCAGTTACCATCATGGGCAAAGCAGACTCCACTTGCGGAAATTAGTTTAATTTTATTACCAATCACAATCAGAGTAGGATAATGAGAAGTAAAACCTAACTCTTAAGACATCTCTCTCTCACCCCTCTCTCCTTCCTGGGCTTAACTTTACTCCAGAATTATCTACCTCCTCCCCAACCTGCGGCGCAGGGGAATGAGGAATGGGGGCTGTGGTCAGTTCATCACATGTTGTCTCTGCCGTTCCTTCCTCCTCAGGGGGAGGTCTCCTCACATTCTTCCCCTGCTCCAGTGTGGGGTCCCTACCACGGGAGACAGTTCTCCATGGACTTCTCCAACATGAGTCCTTCCCACAGGCTGCGGTTCTTTACAAACTGCTCCAGTGTAGGTCTCTTTCGTGGGGTGCAGGTCTTTTAAACAGACTGCTCCAGCATGGATCTCTCACAGGGTCACAGCCTCCTTCAGGCATCTACCTGCTCTGGTGTGGGGTCCTCCATGAGCTGCAGGTGGTATCTGCTCCACCGTGGACCTCCACGGGCTGCAGGGGGACAATCTGCCTCACTGTGTTCTTCACCACGGGCTGCAGGGGAATCTCTGTTCCAGTGCCAGGAGCACCTCCTCATTCCCTTTCTTCACTGACCTCGGTGTCTGCAGGGTTATTTCACTCACATATTCTCGCACCTCTCTTCTGGCTGCTGTGTGCAGGCTGGTTTTTTTTCCCCTTATTAAACATGTTATCCCAGAGGCACTACCAGCATTGCTGGTGGACTCAGCCTTAGCCAGCAAGTGGGTCCATCGTGGAGCTGGCTGGCATTCGCTGTATTGGACATGGGGGAAGCTTCTAGCAGCTTCTCACAGAAGCCACCCCTGTAACCCCCTGCTACCAAAACCTTGTCATGCAAACCCAATACATTTATGGAGAAGCAAAAGGATGGGAATTCTCTGGGGTGTGAGTCAAGTTGCTGTGTTGGCAAGGGCATGGAGGGGGTTTTGGGGGGGCTGTTACTGATTTTGTTTCTTGGGGTGAGTCTCCCCTCTGTTCTCAATAAATGATTAATCACTGGGGCAAAGACCCGATGTTCCCTTGCTTGACTCAGCTTTCCATCTGTCAGGTAATAAAACACTTATCATAATTGATACAACTAGAATGGAGAGCTTGAATAATGAGTTTGAGGGTTGCAGCAAAACCACTGTGTAAGAAAATTACCAGACAGCTACAATATTTTATCCTTTTAACCAGAATCTTAGCACTTTGGTTGTCTTACTCTCCATGCCATTTTGACTTTTTAAAACCTGTGCTGTGCACTATTTCTTTACCCTGTCCTTGTTCAAGAAAACGGTGTTTGTCTACTTCTTTGACACACTCTTATTTAGTTTTTTATTCTTTTTTCCTCTCCCTTTGATGGGGACATTTTAGGATAATCTTTTTGAATGGCACTTTACTGTCAGAGGCCCTCCAGATTCAGATTTTGATGGAGGGATTTATCACGGGCGAATAGTGTTACCACCGGAGTATCCCATGAAACCACCCAGCATTATTTTGCTGACGGTAAGCGTGTTTATTCATTTTTTCCTTTTTACATGATCAATTTAACTGTAGGTGTCAGAGAGACATTCCTGGCATTTAAGGTAATTTTATATTTGTAAGAAAGGTGGCATAGTACTGTTAATGCTGCCAATTGACGAAGCTTTGCTCCTAATAAAGGGAAGTTTTGTCTGGGAGTAGCCACATTGCTGATGTGATTGTCTAATCTGTTCTGTTCATGGGGCCTCTTGGTCTCTGTTGGAGACATCGGCCACAGGTAGGAAGGCAAGACCTATGGTTTGGAGCAGAAGCCCACATTTGGGCATGGTTTCACAGAGCTTTAGCTTTTCAGGCTCTGCATGTGGTGTGTGGGTATTTACAGGAGCAACAGGCAAGCCACCACGTCACACTGGGGCACGTGAGGTGTCAGTTAAGGGTTTCTTCATACATGAATAGAGGCAGAGGGCAGACTTCTTTGTTGAGAAATCTAAATGCTAATTCTATGAGCTTGTCAGTAATATAATTATCAAGTATTGTTTGCAAATAGATTTGTTTGGGTTTTTTTTTTTTTTTACAACTTGTACTAAAACCCAGTAGTTTACTTCAGCATGTTTTAAGATATCCTTCTTCTTCCTTTGAAGGCCAATGGCAGGTTTGAAGTGGGGAAGAAAATTTGTTTAAGCATCTCAGGGCATCATCCTGAAACGTGGCAGCCGTCATGGAGTAGTAAGTAGCAATTATTTGGAAAATGTTACCCCCATCAAGCAACTAGATCTTTAAACTGAAAAAAAAAATCTCATAAAGAATGTTTATAGTGGAAAAGGAGATAGATTTTTGAGGGAGTAAAAATGTGGGACAACTTGAGAAATGTTAGTCATGAAAGAGCAACATGGGAGGATTTGGGAATGGTATTAAATAAATGTGGGGTGAAAGGGTTGAGAAACAGAGCAACAGTGGTAAGCTCTTATTTATTTGGATGCACAAGCATCAAAAATTCTCAGACTACTTAGAATGTTGTTTGGGTTTGTTTTATTTTTTTTTCAATTGTTCTTATGAAAATACTTTAAATCGTATTACTTTCTCCTGTTTTTGTATAATCGCTAAAACCAGCTTGAATATTGATAGAGAGGAGTGTGGTCAGCTTTTAGTTCTGATGCTGTGCTTCTGAACACTCAAGAGGAAAGACAGTGTGGTCTGAGTTCAGAATAACTGAATGTTTTCTACCTTTTTAAGTTACACTATCACAGAAATTGAGAGTTAACACAATCCAAGGCAATATTTCTGTGTTTATATAATTTTAGTTTTGCTGAGTACAGTACATCGATTATTTCTTTGGATATCAGTTGCACTTTTAAAATATGTTGATAAGTTCTTAGGAGTTTTTTAGTGGACCACTTCCAGTTTTGTGAAGCTTCTTAGGTTTTTTTAAAAGAGTAAAAATACTGTCTTTTAAGTAGGATGTGTAAAAATCCTATCTCTTTTTTATGGTGCTTATTTTCATGTGATATTTATTTACCAAATCAACTAGCAGAGTGTCTTGAATTCTTAAATTTCATGACTGTGTAAAATTGAAGGATAAATATTGTCAAAAGAGGTGTTTTAGATGACAATTCTGTTATGAGCTGTTGTTAGTATTTAAGTAAGCTCCTGCCCCAGCGTAATGACATAAAAAGAACAAATTCTGTGCTACATTGCATAAAAGTAAACCACTGAGCTTATGTGCACTGAATTGCAGAATTTGTGTCTAAAAGACAACACACACAAAAAGAAGAATGCCTTATGAATCCTCTTCTTTTCCTCCCCATTTATATGTTAATTCTGCCTTACCTTTATTTCTTCAGAATCCATTTTTAAAGTCTGGAACTCTATATTCATGCAGCATTTTTGTGACAACTTGTCTTTTCTTCTCTGTGTTGGCTCATGGAAGAATAAGGCCTTACCTTGAATTTATAATGTGAAATATAAAAAAATGAAGAGAGCCTTGCTGTGTACCAAAAAAAAGAGTGCTGCTTGTATGGAATTCAGGCTATTCTTTTGGAAAAAATGAAGTCTTGTGGGCAGAACTGCAACTTTTCTGTACTGAGTGTAGAGTGAGGTGAAATAACAGTTCTTTCTGCAACCTTGTTTGTATCTCTGTTTTCCCATTTTAGTAAGAACAGCTTTACTAGCCATTATTGGATTTATGCCAACCAAAGGTGAAGGAGCAATAGGATCTCTAGATTATACACCGGAAGAAAGAAGAGCTCTTGCAAAGAAGTAAGCACTAAGTTTGTTACTGTAGGTACATATATATATATACACACACACACACTCTCTCTCTTTTAGCATTGAATAGAAAATAAGTCACTTCAGTCTGTTCTCTTGCATTTATTCCAAATATAAAAAAAGTTCTATGCCTTACATATGTATTTATTATTTTTTTTTCCTGAACATTGTGCAAACTCAGAGCTTACGGTCAAAAATACTTTGAGAGGGCTGTGTTTCTTCCAGCATTGTGTGGTCAAATTAGAGGTTTGTCTGAAATTCAGGCTTAGAGATAAAATTAACATTGTGATGCAGTGGTAATTGCAGCGGGGAGGGAAAATGAGTGTGATGGAATTGATAGTAGGTGTAAGTGTTTGGAGAAAACAACCAAAACAAAGATGCGTCATTTCCCTTAAGTAAGTAATAATAATAATGAAACAACAACAACTAAAAAAATGAAGCAACAGCTTCTGAATGATTTTTCTGTTCAACAAAGAGAAAAGCAAAAGTCCTGCCCCTGGGGAGGAGTAGCACCAGCTGAGCAGCTGGATAGGAATTTGGAAGGGGAGGACCCAGGGGTCCTGGTGGACACCAAGCTGATCATGAGGCAGCAATGTGCCCTTGCAGCAAAGAAGGCTAATGGTATTATGGGATGCATCAGGAGGAGCATTGCCAGAAGGTCAGGGGAAATGATCATTCCTCTGTACTCAGCACTGGTGAGATGTCTGGAGCAGTGGGTCCAGCCTGGGGCTGTGTCCAGGTCAGGGTACAGGAAAGACAGAGACTTACTGGAGCAAATCCAGTGCAGTGCCATGAAGGTGATGGAGGTGCTGGGACGTGTTTCACACCAGGAGAGGCTAAGAGAGCTGGGAGTGTTCAGCCTGGAGAAGAGAAGGCTCAGGGGATCTTATCTGTGTGTACAAATATCTGCAAGAAGATGTAAAGAAGGCAGAGCCAGGCTGTCCTCGGTCGCATCCAGTGACAGGACAAGAGGTAATGGGCACAAACTGGATCCTACAAAATTAAATCTGGATGCAAGAAAACGTTTTTACTGTGAAGAGGTTGTCCAAGAGGTGGTGGTGTCTCTATCCTTGGAGGTATTAGAAATGCAACTAGAAACAGACCTGAGCAATGTGCTCTGTTTGACCCTGCTTTGAGCAGGGAGAGTGGACTCAATGGTCTCCAGAGGTCCCTCCCAACCTCAGCTATTCTGTGATTATACTTAAATAAATTTTTATACCTGTAGGTTTTTTTTTTGTCTTTCTCCTTTCCCCATCTGGGGAGAAGGTACTTGAAAGACTGTATCCCTATTACTGTTATTTTTATTCCAAATTGTACCTTATTTTGAAGGCAGCTGTGAGCTTATTCTGCCTGTATGATGAGCCAGTAGGAAGCTGCAACTTTCCTGTTAGCATGGCACTGAATCAGAGGGATTAAACCCTCCTGAGAGGTAGGGTTTGGTGGGTTGGTCTTGATGCTGTACTACCAAGGTGGTGTAGTTTCTCACTGGCTTGGAGAGCTGCCTACCGTGTGCCCTATAGACAAATTCTGTGTGCTGGAGGGGAAAGGCAATGCTCTTGCAGAAGCTGAAATTCCCGGATATGAGGTGCAAGTTCCTGGGTCCAGTTTAATATTTGTAATAATAGTTAGATCTTTATAATTTGCAATTTTAATTTGCTGCAGATAGAAAGTAAGTTTTAAAATGGTAAAATAATAATTAATAAAGTAATTCAGTTGTTAATATATTCCTAAATGTCATGAGAGAATATGTATTTGTAGTATAGATAATTCTCAACATATTTTTTCAAGATAGTGCGATTTGGGGCAGGGAGAAGTACTTTTAAGCTACTGGTCTTGACGCCACTTGTCTTTTCTGTGGATTCTTTTGCAAATAGTTTGTTTAAACAAGTGCAGAGGGGAACATGATGAGAACATGCTATTCTGAGCTGTGTCGTTTGTGGCCAGGTCACAAGACTTCTGTTGTGAAATGTGTGGCACATCCATGAAGACAGCCCTCTTACCACTCACATCCGGAAGCGTGTCGAGCCAGGCAGACAAGGAGGCTAAGGAGCTTGCCAGACAAATCAGCTTCAAGGTGAAGTCACTGTTTAAACTTTTATCTCTGTTGTATAGAATTAAAAAAACTATTGAGGCAAAGCAAAACTTGTGGATTGCAGAAACATTCATAAATCCTCATCAATCACTACGTGGAAACCTGGGGTTTTTTTAGGACAGTCTGAAAGAAAAAAATAGGAGTGTATCTTTTGCAATGTGCCAGTTAATAAATTGTGCATCTCAAGCACTAGTTGATTAGCTATAATTTCAGTGGTGAGCACTGTGGTAAGAACTGCCTATCTGTGTTGTTTTTACTTCTGTGTTTTCAGTCATGAATAACTTGATTAAATTCTCCAGAATTAGTCTTGTCATAAGTGTTAGGAAAGTTTGGGCAAAGCTAACCTAAATTTTTTTTTTCTTTGTGATTCTTTTTTTTTTTCTTTTTCTCTTTTTGGCTTATGGAAGGAATAAAACATATTCCTACTGAAAAATGGTTGCAAATTCTTTTGAACTACTCTGCAGCTGAAGATACTGAAAGTTGAACTCTGGTATGGAAGTTGCTGTTACCCAAAAATGTGTTCTCTAGCTTGTGTTTCAGTGAAAGTAAGGTTTGTTTAGCCAAACACGTGCCTTAGGAAACTGCATGTCTTGCATGCACAGTGTCATTTTTCACTGGGTTTTCCACTAAACTCTTAAATCAGCCACTAAGGAAGATTGCTGTGCATGAGGCAGGGAGCTACAGTGAAATATATGATGACAGTGTGACATTGGTGCAGAATGCATCCTCACTGAGGTCAGGGATGCTGGGATGTCCTCTTTTATCACCATTGTTCTCCTTCTTGTCCTAAACACTGCCTTTTATGTCTGTGTGTGTGTGTGTATGTGTGTGTGCCATGAGAGTGAAGATTGCCTCCTGTGGAGCACTACTGCCAGTTTTGCAGGACCTGCATATGTCTGTGTAGTCTCACATCCAGACATGTTGACACAGTTGGGTCTATGTGTAACAGTACTTATGATAAAAGTATCTCAAAATATTTTACAACGATGAGAAGGTATAGGGATGGAGTTTAAAGCTGAGCTACACAGAGAAGCAATGGAGTGCCTGCTCCTGGCTTTTTTACAATATATTAGGGTTAAAAAGTGTAGGATTATTTTTTACGTAAGAACTGCTAATTTTCATCACAAAATTCTAGGAATACCAGAGTATAGTTTTGATTTTTTGGGTGGTTTTTTTTTGTAGAAAGAACTCTTAACTTACATTTCATACTTTTTTCAGTTCTAAAATGAAAGATTTAGGGACATCAATCTCTAAAGAATATTGGTGCATTCCATGTAACTCCACCTCTTAAGAACAAACACTCAGCAAGGGAAAAATGAACAGAAGTGTCAGGTTTCTACAGCCTTTTACAATCCATTGTGGGTTTTTTACAAGGTAAATCAGTTCTGTCATCTGGTTGCACCTTCCCTCCCTTTCTCGAATCAAATTTTAGGGATTGGGTTTTTTTAAGCTTCACATGTCTCTGCTTTGCTTTGTTATTATTTGTTTGATGTTAGGCTGAGGCATTTGATTGATGTGTTTGTAGTAAACTAGTATTATGAATTGCTGGCAGGGAATACAAAAGTTTTGAATCATTTGGATATATTCCATGTCAATTTATGGGGTGAGATTAACATCAGATTGCTGATTTAGTGCGTAATTTGAGAGGGCCTCTCTACTACCAAGTATACTAGCAATCTCTACATTATCTTGATCCTTCAAAAGAGATTTCCTAACTTTTTCTAGGTGATCCTGGGATTATAAGAAGTTATTTAATACCAGTCTTTTGCAGTAAAATTAATTCTGGGGAAGGAACTTGCAAAATGATGCAGGAAAGGCAAATTCCCTCTGCAGGTTGTCAAATGCAAGAGCAGGCTGCCCAGAGAGGCTGTGGAGTCTCCAGCTTTGGAGATGCTCAAAACTTGACTGAACGTCACTACTTTGAGGAGAGAGTTGGCCCAGGTGACATCTAGAGGTCCATTCCAGCCTAAATTATTCGTAATTTTGTGGTGTTTTGTTGTTGTTCTATATCTGAGTCATAACTTGTCCTGTTTAACATTGGAGTTCATAGTAGTCAAGTGCAAAAGGAAAGCAGTGTTGTCAGAGAGTAAGTGTTTGTAAATCTTAAGTTCATCTTCAGGTTGTTTCAATTGTGTATTTTTTGGATTCTCCTGAGATAATATACATCAAGAAAGAGGGAATTTAATTTCCTTGCACAAAATTACATCATGAAAAAGAATATTGTTATCTTACGATGTTATCAGCTTGTTATCGCCATAACTGGTTGTTTTCTAATACACATTATTTCTTATTACTACTACCACTACTTATATCTGCTTTGAAGACAGGTATTAGATTTGAAATTGTCATCTTTATAATACGTTGAGATCTAAATATGTAACTTGGGAGGTGACTTGCTTGCTGATAAAAATTGATCTGGTCATGAACTGTTATTTTTTTTTAAATCTGTATAAATTTTAAAGTGTTTCAGTTCAGAACTATGATGCTATGTCCTTTTCCATTCCCAAGGGATTATTGCAGGCATATGTACTGGTTTAACAAGAGATTTGTTCATGATCTTCTACGTGTCACTACTGATGGCTTGTCTAAAATTTCTAAAAGCATGAAACCTGAATTCTGGGAGTTGATGCTTATTAGACATTTTTTAAACGCATACAAAAGCAGTATTATAAGACTTGTATTTTTCCTTTTGCTCTGCTTGTGCAGTGGAAACTGAGGTATATGTGCCTGACACAGAGTAGTGCCATCACTCCAGCTGGGAGGCAGCTTTGGTACTAGGACCAATATAGTCACATTAAATTAGCACTTACGTGAGGCTCGTTAGCCCTCCTGAGAAGCAGGCTGTATAGGTTCACTTGTAACCACAGTGGTCAGCACTCACTTAAGGACACGAGAAACAGAAGTTTTAAAAAGTGGTGTTATTTCTGGCATAACGTTGTGCTGGATCTTCTAAAGAATTTGCTTTTTTACTCTCTGCATCTGTGTGGCTTTTTTTGAACGTTAGACCTGTTGTTACATGCAAACAAAATTGGTTTTTAAACTGATGTTTGCACATCTATACTCTTATTTCTAAAGATGAGAATTTTTAAACCAGTTGGTGTGTAATCAAAACGCGGTTGGCGTACTTGATTATTACATTTCAGTAAGTCTCATTCTCCGTACATTAAAACACACATTCCAGAATAAGCCAGCTCTCTCTGGAGCAATTGTGATCTTGTCTCTGAAGCGTGCCTTTGTGCTCCCTGCAGGCAGAAGTCAACTCATCCAGGAAGTCTGATGCTGGACCCTCAAACGTGTCAGGATTGAACTACCCAGCCGCGTCCCGGGAGCCCCAGCAGGACAGTGCAGCCAGAGCAGCCCAGGATCCAGCAGGCACCACGGTATGGGCTGTCTTTGAGCTTTATCAGTGCCAGTGCAAGCATAGTTTGAACATGAAATCAATACTTTTAAGCTGACTGGAGGCTTCATTACAAATACGTAGTTCATACTTTTCTTCTAGAACTTCTGCATATGTTTATATAAAAGCCGTGTGTAAACTTTAGCAAACAGCGCGCTAAATCGCTTTGAGAAACAGCGGTCTCTTCGCTTTCACTTCCTTCTCTTAAAAAGAATAAATAATGTTCTTCTAGCAATTTTTATTCCCAGTAGCTCCTTTAACATATGGATTAATGGGTCATTAAAATACTATGGTGTCTGAAGTGCTACAATTTACCATCTGCATAATATATTGTAGTTTTTTGCAATAGAAAACTTAGCTAGAAGCAAAAAATGGTTCAGTGATAATTTGCAACTTTTAAATATTAATTAAGGGTATCTTCCTGTTTTTTTTATAACCCCTTAAGTAAATCTGAATAAAAATATTCTTACCATGTGAAGTTATGACACTTAATGTGTTAACACTTCTCGGCATAGAACCTTACATAATGGTTTCAGACGTGCCCAAGGGCTGGTGGTGGGCCAGGGCAGCTGCTGGTGTGACTGTAGCAAATGCAATCTCAATTCCCTGATAAATTGCAGACAAATCCCAGCTAAGCTCTCTTTTTTAGAGAGGATGGGGCTGCAGATCGCTGAAAAAAACTAAAGCACGTCAAATAACGTCAGACCATCTGTTGCGTGTTTGCAACATATTTTGGAGCTATGTAGAAATATAAACATGCTAATAGCATACTTTGTTCCCCACAATAAGGATTTTTCCAGATTGCTCAGGATTTAATAAACGATTTTATTTTATTCTTCTTATTACAAAGCCTGGCTAATAAAGTAGAACTAGCCAAAATACCAAGGCATTGCCAGCATTTTCTTGAAGAAAAAGAATCTGATTTTTTTTTTTCAATTAATCCCATTTCTAAGAAATTTGTTTTATTTGATTATTGTGATTTAATAGATAATGATTAAGTTAATTTTCAGCAGAAAAGTCCCATGTGAAATGAGAACATGAACGTATGTAAAAATATTTATATGTGGTAGAAACCCAGGTATGTGACAACTAGTGATGATTACTTTAGTTAGGAAGCATGAAGGATCAGGAATATTTCTAGATTTATTTTTTTTTTATATTCCTTTTTAAAAAAGCTACTTTAAGAGTAACAACACTTTGCCTGCTGAATTTGCAGTTCTTGCTTCCTGAATTCACTTCTCTTCCTCTCCTCTTCTGAAAGATGGGAGGGTAGATGAATCTAGGAACTTTATTTTCAAAGGCTCAGCTTCCCTAAGTCTTTATTTTCCTTGGCTTGAGGGGCTCTCAAGTGAGTTCAGTATGAAGCAGAACAACTTTCTTCTGCGGTGTAGTGGAAATCGTGGCACGCTGCTCGTGGTGTTCTTGGCTGTCTCTGCTGAAAAAATAAATCTTTTAAAAACATTTTTATTTGAAGCTACCCAAGCTGCTTGCTTGCTTAGGCAAGAAACCTGTGTAAACAGGCAAGTTGTCAAATGTGGTGAGTAATTACATCATTAATTCCTTGCTGATAATAAACAGTGGGAAATAGCAGTGATGAGGAGGTAGGAAAGGAAGGTCTCTTCCCTGGGCTAGTCAAATCACTGACAGCCTGAAGGTTTGGAGATTCTTCTCCCACATACAGAGCATGTAGCCAAAGCTTGGAAGCAAATATAAAATGTCCAGAATTCTGGCTTTACCAGCTGTAACCATGATAAATCTTTTAGAAGAAGGGAGGAGGAAGGAAAACGTACTCTGGCAAAACTCTGGAACAAACAGCTGCAGGTTGCAGTGGGAACACCTGCAAATTGCTCTGAGAAGTAAAAAGAAGACTTAAAGTAACTTTTTGCCAGAGCTACTGTTTTTTAAACACTTTAAAATTGAAGCTTGTCAAAATGTGTATTTCCATCAACTATGCTGGATCATTATTTTTAACATTGAAATGTTGAAAGCTTGGACATTTAAAATTGCAGGCAGAATTAGGCCAGTGAAATCTTGGAACCCATTGCTTCAATCTTAAAAACTGAAAAATTATTTTTGTTAGTATAGTCCCCTGAGCTGAACATCAGTTGCTAACATTTATTTTTTTTGCTGCACATAATGGTAGCCCAACGTTTGACCAGCAGAGGGCAATGGGTATGTACCTGTGTAGGTACAGTGCTCAATTACTTGTGCTGGAATCACTTGGATGTTTCCTCTTCAGGAGTTTGGTTTTGTTTTTTTCCATTGGTGGTGGTGAGAGCTGATATTTGGACCCAGCTGCCCACAGGAAGGAGGGGCAGTGTTGCTTAACTGGAGGTCTCTGAATTTCTGTACTTCCTTTCTTCCCCTCCCCAACTTTTTTTCCCCTTCAGTATAGGTGACATCACAAATCCTTGGAGACGTAACTATCTGGAGGATTATTGAAGATTTCTTGAACTGAAAAGTGTTAAGCAAATCCTAGACAAAAATATTTTAAATACCTTGATTTGGAACACATTTAGAATTCAAATACCATTTCACAGACTTTCTTCGACTTCCCTTGTCCTTAGAACTACTAATTTGAGCTTGAAATAGGCTTTTCAAGAGAGCGCATAGACAAAAATGATCACAGAATCACAGAATGATCTGGGGTTGGAAGGGACCTCTGGAGATCATCTAGTCCAACCCCCTGCCAGAGCAGGTCCACTCAGGTCACACAGGAACGTGTCCAGGTGGGTTTGGAATGTCTCCAGAGAAGGAGACTCCACCACCTCTCTGGGCAGCCCCTTCCAGGGCTCTGCCACCCTCACAGGAAAGAAGTTCCTCCTCATGTTTAGGTGGAACTTCTTATATTCAAGTTTGTGCCCATTTCCTCTTGTCCTGTCACTGGGCACCACTGAAAAAAGACTGGCCCCATCCTCCTGACACCCACCCTTTACGTATTTATAGGCATTGATGTGATCCCCCCTCAGTCTTCTCTTCTCCAGACTTAAAAGACTTGATGGCTGTAATGATCTATTAACCACTAGTGACATGTATTGTCAGGCTTTCAAGTCTTAACAATTGTCTGCAGAGTACGTTTTAGTCCTAATGATTGTATTCCTTGAATAACCGTATGCGTTGTCTTGCCTCACAACTCCTCCTGTGTCCTTTTTCCAGTCTGACACTCAGAACAGCAGCGCAGCGGCCGGTCCAGAGCCTCCTCCTCCGGTGGCCACCAACACATCGCTGAGCCCTCGGCAGCGCCGTGCCCAGCAGCAGAGTCAACGGCGGCCACCTTCTTCAGCCGACTTCAACCGGGTACAGCAGCCCAGGGTCAACATCAACCACACGGGCTCCACCGTGCTCATCGTCCTGCTCACCTTCGCGTTGGCAGCTCTCATATTCCGTAGGATATGTTTGGCTAACGAGTATATATTTGAGTTGTAAGGTTGTTTCTGTCCTAACGGCGGTGACTCGAACGCTCCGTTGACCATTCTGTGTTGGGTATGACATTGAGAACTGTTTACAAAGGTTACTTTTTGTATTTACGCTTCAATCCTTATGAATGTTAATGTACCTGCAGATACATTACTTGTCAGAAAAGCAAAGTTGGACATTTTAACTGCAACGAGTGTTAATTGATGCCCGCTAGATACTTGGAGAAACGGCGCAGTGGAATAGTAATGTTAAGGCATGTGGGAGTGGAGTAATTTTTGAGTAATTTATCAACTAGAAAAGGACAATTTAAAAATTTAAGTGGTTGATTCACTTTGGTTTTTTTTTTATGGAACATAAATGCAATTAATCATCCCCTCTAAGTTAGTACAACATTTGACATTGGAGAAGGAGTTGTAAAAGGAAACACAACTATGTGTTTGTGTCCAGTGACCTCTTCATTTAGAGGGGATACGGTTCTGTAACCACTTTTATTGACCATGACACATTTCTAGAGGGAGAACACACACGAGTTGGTTGCGATGCTGCTTTGTGTGTGTGAAAGGGGGAAAGGAGCAGGGGGGGAAAGAAGGGGCCAGTAAACTACTTGCATTATTCTGATTTTTGGTTTTTTGGAAGAAAGATTGGATAATCTTTTGCAAGATTTGAATATCCTCTTCTAATACTCTCAATTGTATATCTTGTTTTTTTTAAAGTTGAAGGTTATATAAAACATGTCTATTCTTGCAATAGTTATAAATATGTAATATAATTATTTACCCAGAGCTATTGTCTTTTAATTATGCCAGAAATATACATAATGTGTTGAACTGAATGTTTCACATGTGGTTTTATTTACTAAAGAAAATTTAAACCTTATTATACTTAAACTCTCATCTATATGAACATGCTTAAGAGAAATATTTATTAAAAACTTGGTAGTAATAAAGAGCTTCAAGCCAGTCTTCAGGTATGTTTCAAGTATCACATGGCCTTTTGGTTGGTTGGGTGGTTTTTTTTGTTGTTGTTTCAGGGTTTTTTTGACACTTCAGGTTTTTTTTAAAGCCTAAAATAAATATTGGACCCAGAGACTTTCTGCATTATTAGTTTACTAAAAGAATAAGCAATTGGTAATATTAATGAATGCTGTGAAATCACATTTAGAAGCAATAGAGCTACAGTTGTTACGGTTTTGAGAAGTTTTGTCTGTGAATGTTTAAGTTCTGCAGCGAAGTAAAAGAAAGCAATCAGTGGGATAATTTTCTTCTGGCATCATTGTTCAGATTTAAATGTGTTCTAGTACGTTTATTTCAAAGACAATGAAATTCAGGTAAATCTCAGTGCTGTCAAATGTGACTGCTCTGACTTAAGCCAGATTCTCATCTTATTTCTTAGCAAGTGTTTTCAGGTCACCTACAGCTTTCCTGAATTTTGTTAAATATACTATATGTGATTGTTTTGAAACGTTGAAGTAGGTATAACACCTTCTAAAATAAAGCAAGCCCATTGTGTGTCTAAAGGGAATGTGGAAATTTAAAAAAACACCACAACACAAAAAAACTGAGTTCATTTTTAGCCCTTCTGGGTTGTTGATGATTTTGTAGAATGGAACAAAAATCAAAAAATAGCTTTCTTAAGTTCAGACAAAAGTTTATATTTTGCTCAACAGATACTTCTTCCACATTCCGCTGCAGGACAATTTGATGCCAATATGTTAATTGATGTGTTTTAACATAATTTGTATGTTTATTTCATTAGAAATTTTTAAAAAATCAAACCACAACAACCAGAAAACCCCTCACCAAAACCCTTTCCAGATCCTGTAGCCTCTAAAAATCAAAGTACGGTGTTTCCTCGTTGCTGTGTTGCCTGAATACCTGCTCTGTTCAAAGTATTGCACAAACCTGGGCCCACAGAGGCCAGTTCTGGGAGGGATCTGACCCAAAAGAAGACTTTTTGCTGAATTTTTGGCTGCTCTGCTCCCAATGTGCTTTTCTTTTCCTCGAGCCCGGCTGCTCTCCTGTGGTGAAGTCTTCTGCACAGAGAAGGTCCCTGTGGCCCTTGGAGTGGGCGGTGGGAAAATAAGCTTTGAACGGTTTCTAAAAAAACAAACTCTTCCTTGTGGTTAAAGAAATAACTGCTTTGTAGCTTTCCGTTTTTATTTCAGACTTCTATTTAAAAAAAAAAAAAAGAAAAATGTTAAAATGCCTGATTGTGCGAATACCTATTTGAAAAAAAAAATAAATATTCATGGTGACTTGATTTACGTTAAGGAGTCTGTTGCCTGTCTAGCTGCTTTGGTGGGGTCACTGTGTTTTAATTTTCCTTTGAAGGTTAGCAGTAAATGAAAATCATCATTTTCAGAGGAAATAGCTCATCTTTTATCCTCGGCAGCATAAAGAGCCCGACTGAAGTGGAAAATAAAATCTCAACTGTACATTTTTAGGGGCCTGAAACGTGGCACAGGTGGGTTCAAGGGGCAGAAGCTGCTCTGTGAAGAGGCAGAAAATCTGGGAAGCCTAATGAAAGGGGACAGCCCCTTTTTTTCCGCCGTCTGGCAGGAGGATAGCGCTGCCCTGAGATTAGGGGATTGAGCAAAAAGCCGGCGTGCAGAACCGCGGGGTTTTTATATAATGGCTTTAGCAAATATCCTTTAGGACCCAGTGGAAACGGTGGGTGAGTGGAACTTGGTGAGTAATGGCCAATTGTTAGTGGGGGTGATGGTGATGAGGGAGAAGCTTTGAGAGAGAAGCCCCCTGGAAGCCTGTTGGGGAAACATCACCTCAGGAAAGGAGCGTCCCCACCACCCATCCCCGACCAACATGCGCCGCCGGAATTAAGAGTGGATTCGATGTTCAAACCCAGGGGGAGTTGTGCTGCCGGAGGTGACCGGAGCGCACGGCTCCCCGCTCCTGCTTCCAGCAAGATGCCTGATTTTGCAAAACTCCTTCTATTAATCTTTTGCTTAGTTCTCCTGGTGGAAAGCCGAAAGCACCGGAGGAGGAGGTGGACGAGCCAGCTGGAGGTGCAGAGGGCAAGGTAAGGGTCATTAAAACACACAGGTTCCTTTCCCTGGAGGGTTACAAATCCATTGCTACACAGACATAAAACAATCTGCCTTAGCAGTGTCTTTGTGGCAAACGGCTTTATAGATAATGTCTTTTGATTAGTGTCTGACACCATATTCAGTTTTAACTGCGAACGGTCCAGTTTAATGATAATTAACTCCTAACGAGGCAGGTGTTGCAGATAGATTGTCTGCTTCTGCTCGGTAAAAATTACAGGGAGAATTCAGAGAGGCTGCAGTTAATAGAGATGCTCAAATCTGTTGTTCCAGCCTGGTTCCTAGAGCAGGTTATTTACCCTGTTTGCTAAAATTTCTGTGCTGCTTATATTCCATAATGGCATGTTATTTTCTAACAGTCTGGGGTGGGGGAGTTGGTTAGCGTGCGTGGGATTAATTAATATAATAAAAATCCCTGGAAGTTACTCGAGGACTGCAAAATTACAAATATATTTTGAAGAAATCCATGGAAACTTTACAAGGCTGTGCATTTTAAAGTTAAGCAAAGGCAGGAGAAAGAGTTAAAGGTCGTTGCAAAGTTTATTAGATTTGCTGTTGCTGAGATTTGACCCGAGGTTGATGTTGGAAAAGATAATCTTCAAACCTGTCAGACAGTCCAAAGTACGTTATCCTGTTCTGTAGTTATGTCATCCCGTGGCAATTGTATCTTACAAGACTGTTCATTGTTTGAAGGGCTCAAAAAGTAAAATTAGGTTAATCCATCTTATTAAACGGCTTCGCTATGGGCTGTAAACCTTCATCTTTTCATTTATTTTTTGGGGTTTTTTGCTTTAACACTCAGCACTTTTTTGGGGAAGTGTTGGAACTTGAGCGTTTTACAACGAAATGTTGTGATGGAATAGAAAGCATAGAGCCCCTGATACGCTCCCAGGTTTATACTGTTTATTGGAAAATGCAGTAGCACACGCTTTTAGTGACATAAATGTTATAAAGCTGCAACAGCAAAGGGCCTGATTCTGAAATCCTAAAGCCAACTGAAGTTGTGCCTCTGAATCTACATTATTTCACTTAACGCTGACATTTTTTCCAAGTCTTTTTCTGGGAAATAAGGGGTGTTCAACAGTAGCTTTATCTCACAAAAACCATTTGCGTGTAGCAAAGACCATCTACTTTGAAGTAACAAAATAGTATAAATCCTTCTTTTCAGCATGACTTTTTGCCCAAAAGTAGTGCTGTTCTCTGGGTTAAAAGTTGAATATTTCGCACTTCGTTTAAACATTGTGAAAATAATTATTTGCAACTTCTTCAGCGCTGTTACTTTTGTGAAGCTGTGGTAGAGTGGAAGTCAAAGCACTGCTAAAATTACTTATATAAAGAAGTTTCCTGTAAAGAATAAGTGCTACTGTTTGGTTTCCTGTGGAATAGTGGTTTTAATGAACAGATTTCCAGCCAGGTAGAAACTGAGGAACTATATGCCTATTGTGTATATAGATATATATTTTAAAAAAATAAAAAATATATACACAAATTTTCCATACAATGCAGTTATTTAAAAGTATATAAAATCAAGTTTAGGAGACTATCAAATGTGAATGGCATCTTAAATACAGAGAATTCTGCAATATTGAAAAAAAATAATAAAAAAGAGTGTATGGAGTGGTGGCATGGATACTCCAAATTTCCGGTTACGTAGAAAAAATATAGTTGTCTCTAAACCAGCAACTAATAGGGGACACTTCTAGTAAAAGGAAATTAAAACCACTTCCTATACTGGTTTTCTAACCAAGCAAGAGAAATGAAGACAGTGTCCTTTTTAATAATTTCATCACATTTTCTTAGTATTTCTTAGTTTAGTATTATTTCTTAGTTTAGTATTTCTTTTGCTGACTTATAAGAAATACAGTAAATTTTACAGTAAATGTATTAGACAAGAAAATTTATTCCTATGTTTGGGAGTCTGCATTTGGTAAGTTTGATATTTGGCGTCCTTTAAGGTGATACATCAACCAGATGTAAAGATCTTTATACTGATTTTTCAGAAGGTACCCTGGGTTGTGTGAGCTCAGAACGTCTTCACTAGAAGGTTGTCCAGAGGTTCCCCCCCTCGGTGGAGCTCTGAGGGCGCTGGTCCCAAAATCAAGGACCTTGATGTTCCCAGTCTATCAGAAAGTTCTCCATCGTATCTGATCCTGTGTGATCTGTGTACGTTAATATTAAAGATACACTTCTGTGTAGGGTACGCTCAGAGAGTAACGGGAGAGAATAAATTTGGAATGTTCATCTAGGAGTGAGTTAACTGTCACGACAGTCAGAAACTGTTATTGCACCTTTTTTGTTTATCTTTTTGGGCACCTTGGCAGCAGTCGTATACTTTGCTGGTTAGAAAAACAGGAGGTTTCGTACCTTTCTTGGTGCTCAGTTTACACCGTGTACATGTCCTCCAGCTTGGTGTGGCTGCTACCCAAAGTAAGTGGCACCTTCAGCTTTTTTCCCCAGAGAATACATTGAAGCATGGTAAGATTTTCATCGAAACTGTAAAAATATTTTCCAAATCCCAATAGGAAATGGGATAATAGGAGCCAATGTCCCATGACTATGAGAGACCGTCTTCTTGTGACCAAAGTCAACGCTGATTTCTCCAGAGGGAGGTGCAGAAACGTCCTGGACTGTGGCTGTTGGCAGCTGCACCACACTCCCGCCGGAAATCATGTTTCCTTTCAGGGTCACCACTTACCCAATGAGCACTGCTAACAATTTTATAAGTTTATCTTGCTCTGGAAAGGTCTGAGTTCGTAGGTACCCACTGCTGGTTTGAGTCTTGTTCAGCTGTTATCTGTGATTCCTCATGCCATCAAAATTTAACTTTCTTTGATATATTTGGCAATATAAAAAGAGATCTCTCTCATGCAATTGAGAACAAGAAGTGAATGGAAAGAACAAGAACTAGAAGTGAATGGAAAGAAGAATATAAAAAAAAAAAGTAGGGCAATAGTGGAAAATCCTTTGCAGAAACTTAATGTGAATCCTGTCCCCTTCTCTCCTCTGTGAACAGGAACAAGTCACCACAAAAACCAGTTTTATCAAAATCATAAAAAGCATAAACAGCAATAAAATTATATATGAAAAACATGGCAAAAAAAAAAAGAAAAAGAGATGTGTGGCTTATAAATGAATAGTGAGGAACTGCAGAAAGTACATAAAGCTGAAAGAAACCCTGACAAATCTATGATCAGAAGCACTAAAGACCGTGAGTACCTCAGGGAGGATTTAGGAGATGCCAGTGATTGTTGGCAAAGGCGCCCGATGGGCAGGGGTGCTCAGGGCATCCCTCAGCTCTGCAGAGGTGCTGGAGGCTGTATTCACCTTTCCTGCAGATAATGAGATATCTCCTGTGCCAAGGAGTGGTGGGGGTGGCATGGGACACCCATCAGAGAGGAGAGTGTCAGAAGATACCAGGGTAGCCGTTGTCAAGCACTGTTATAAAGAATGTGGTTTTTACGAACAAACTTGGTCTTGCTTTTGGATTAAATTGGCAAAAATAGTTGACATGCTTCAAAGGCTGTGTAGGCTGCCTGTCATTAAAAGCAGCTCTATGCAAAAATCTTTGTAAATGGATTAAATTGATTAAAAATTAAATGACAGACCTCTGTACATTCGGAATTGTCCGTCATGTGCCTGGAGGATTGGGCATGAATTGGTGATTAAATGCTGGCTATCAAATGTAACCTGATTTAGGAAATTCCTGAAAACCTCTGTGTTTTTCCTAAGGTGAGGTTGGTGCCACCGACCAACCCTCTGAAGCCTCTGCAGCCATAAACTTGTTCTTAGTAACTCTCTCATGTGCTATTAGCTGTTTGATGATTTTTTAAGCTAATTGATCAGAGCCTGGCGTTTCAGTGAGGCCATGCCATCGATTTACAAGATGGCATTGTAGTACCGTCAGGGTTTCCATATTATTTCCTCGTACAGCACGCAATCCAAAGTTTTATTGGATTGTTAATTTGATTCCCCTCCTCCCCCCCGACCCCATTCTTTGAGTAGAGAGGTTTGATTGAACATTCATTGGTCCTTAGGCCTTTCCCTGATCGTTGATGATGAGGGGGAATCAAAATTCTCCCATGTAGAATGTGCCCTGGAGCACAAAGGCTTATATTATCGTCATAGAATCATAAAATGGGAAGAGTTGGAAGGGATCATCTGGTTCCAACCCCCCTGCCCTGGGCAGGGACACCTCCCA